AATAGGAATATTCCCGCCTAAAGGGATCAAAACTCCGCCTACAGGAATCAAATCAACAAACAAACGTTCCCAGTAGACGGTCAAAAGACGAACAGTCAAATCACTGTACAACCGTTAGTTGAACCAAGACAAAATGTCGGGCACAGTAAAACAACATCACCTTGTCAACAGTCCAGCGTCACATAATAGGAAAGGCAAATACCGAGTGCAAAGTCAGATAAGACAGTCAAACAAGCAAATAACATTACACCGGCTAGAGTCAAAGGAACACCATCCATAACGAGGGTAAAAATGTCAAAATAAATGTCAATACAATCAAATAAGGGTGATCGAGAGGGCTTTTTAGATCAATTTTCCGTAACATAAGGTGCTACGGATTGTGGCGAACTGCTTGTGGCTGCCTTGTTCGGAAGCCTTTTACGTCGTCTTCTATTTTCAGGCATGGCATGATCCTTTCTCAAGATAGGACTGGTTTATGACGGGCTAGTGCTACTCTGTGTCACCTGTCTGATGGCGACTGGAATTCTTGGAACATGGGTTGGCCACTTCTTTAGAAGTTCGGTGTTCTGCCCTACCTCTGTTTGTCTTCTAGTACAGACTAGTGTGTTGTTTCGGGTGCTGTTGTCCCTTTTTGTGCACGGCCGCGTTATCTGTATCAAAGCTTCGGATCCAGCGTTTTGGGCAGACATGTCGCTATGATATTAACTTCCTGGGAAAACAAATAACTAACAACAATAAGAGGGTTGAAGACTGAATCTAGCAAAAAGACAGAGTGGATGAGGGAAGACAATTTGTTGGCTCACCTTCAGACACTTGTCACCTGATCCTCTGCTCTTGACCAACGAGTTTAACCGTAAGCTCCAGATGTGTATGTATAACGAGGGAAGATATTTTCTGGGTAATGACCTCCGAGGAGAACCGAGAGCTAAGGCAATTTGGCAGTTGAAACGCCCAAGAACCACTGACAGGAGGTAGACCGGTTGGTTCAAAGGAATAATAATGCCAATTTTCAACCGTTGAGAAGTGAGCTGACGAATACGCAGGGGTGAGGTGCATGGACGGACAGAAGTGCTGCAAACGTCCGATCCTTTTAGATTGAGTATTGCAAGTGGGAGTTTTTCTGCGTGATGTGATTTGATATTTCTCTGTTCTTTTCATAACCTGTGGTCACTTTTATTATCATGATAGACCGTGATGAGATATTTTCTGTATCATTCAGGATGGCTCAACTGCCGGCGATTTCTTAACCATTATCAGTTTGATGATGCCTTTAAACTGCTTCTCTCATGTTAAACTGTTAATTTGAGAATAAAATATTTATTTATTCATATGCATTCTTGAAACAGAGGGTTGGCAACAACATGTGGAACACCCTACCAGGTGCAATAGCCTCCTGGACCTAGTCGTCGCAAACGGAATTACACCCACAAAACTCCAAGTGAGTACATAATTTCCAGGTATCGATCACAAGATTGTATATGGGTACTTCAATACATCCAGCACAAAATAATCCCAAAAATCAGGAACAGCTCTAACTAGAAACTACAAGTATGCCGAATGGGACGAACTACAATTGTTTCTGCGCTGCCTAGATTGGAGCCTCTCATTGACCAACAGTCCAGTCAAAGATCTCTATAACCTATACTGTGAATACATAGGCGCAGCTCAAAACTCTATTGCTCCACCGCTCCAAAGAAGAATTAAGATGGTTGCTTCCAAGTAGTAAAATTCAATAATTGCTACTCTTCCCCTAGACCTACACAAAGTAGTATCGTCCAGCTTAGTGTGCTAGGACTGTTACTTTTAACAATCTATGTAAACAATGTCCGCAGCGTTGTCCGAAATGGCATGCCTTACCTTTTTGCAGACGACTTGAAGATAGTCTACAGCTTTTTTCCTGCGGCACTGGCACAAAAAGATTTGAAGAGAATATTCACATGAAGCGTGGCCCGGCAGCTACCTTCGAACCCAAACAGAATTGGTATCGTCCATTTCAACAAATGCCACCCAGAAGCAACACTACACCTGGGTGGAATCGCGCTGCAGATAGACAACATCGTGAAAGCCCTCGGAACCACTTACTGTAGGAGTGTGACCTTTGTGGAGCATGCAGATTCAACAGTTTCCAAAGGCGGAAGACTCATAGGTCTTCTACACAGAAACATACAGCTGAGGCAAAACTCATACCATACAAAGCTGTGGTTCGCCCAATATTAGAGTATTGCACGTTCAACCATGGTAACATGAAGGTAAAGGATAGAATTCGAGGAGAGAACTTCCAACAGAACTTCACTCGGCGTCTACTAATACACAACGAAGGGTTTCTTTATGAAGCAAGATGCAAAAACTAGAACTTGAACCGCTCTGGATGAGGCGCCTGAAGCTCGGCCTAACTTTCCTTTTTCTTCGTGTGTTTGGAAAATCTGAAACGAACTGTTCAATTACTTTTAAATCAACACCGGCATATAGTCTGCGTAATAGCGAGCACACCATTCCAATAAATAAGTATCGCTCAAAACATCGATGTAGGTTTTTCATAACGCAATACAGTAGGTTGTGGAACAAACTTCTCGCTCCTATACGAGCATGTCGATCTCCCGGCCAGTTTCAACGATTACTTAGTGGATTCCTCCTATTTAACGATTCCCATCAATTCGTAGACGGTCAAATCACAAACGGTAATACCATGTACAAGGTGCTACTGGAACCTAGGTCCAAGGGAGACTAACAGCAGTGACAAAAGTATGCAATACCGAAAACTAAACGCGTGGGTCAAGATACAATCTAATTTTTTGAAACTCACCAACAGTGGGCAGAAAGTGGGGTGTGATACGATCTGCAACAGTGAACTCTGTAGCTACTTTGATGTAACCTCCACTTCTTCGTAACCTAACTGATCTCTCGAGTTAACACCTTTTTCCTAAAATTCTACCCTTGGGTTAATCTCTTAACCCATGACTGATAAATGAGCTGTTTGTCGGTGGATCTTTTTGGCATGTAACGCCTTACTACTTGCCCTTTGTTGTCAGTACTTACGTGTAAGTACTCTGCAGCACCATATCGTTTCTATGGCCCTGATACGGTAACACCCAACAGGCAACACCGTGATTATGCCTTCTTTCTTTCGAATTTCTTCTGCGGCTCGCTTTTCTTATTCGTTTTTCAGATCTACCTAACGAGTCCTTCATCCATGTGGAATTCTAGAAATCTCATTTGTCAATGCACACTATGCCAACGAAGCTTTACGACGAACTCAAACAACCCAAGGTCATGACCGTACTACCCGCCCTACCTTTAAGAATATTGGGAGATCCAAACAATAGCTGAATAATTCCTATTTTCTATCTGAGTCTGCTCCAATATGCTGAACAATTATTCTGGGAAGCAATAACGCTCTTTCTCTAGACGCACCTCTTATGTGCCATGAATAACGGCATCTAACGTATAGCTTAACATTGTACATAACAGTCATTTCTCGTCACCAAAATGATTTAACCTGTAAACTGGTTTGTATACACGTAACCCATGTTGTATGAAATACATTATTATCATTATAGTGTCTTCCCCTCTGCTTAATTTAGGACAGTCAAAATGTTGCTGATCTTTTAGACACTACCAACTTCATGATGTTTATAGACCAGCTTCTCTCATGTTATATTCATAATAGGTGGATAAATTAATGCTCATACATTTGCCTGCGTGGACAGGAATCAATCATTTCTCTGGCCAGGTAAGCGATCTACACAGGCTTACTTGAAGTGCAAGTACATCATCATCATCATACATCATTCTTCGCAAATTTTTTATACCATCGGCATATAGAACCCGTGGAGATTTCGTAACATTCTGCAGCCCTTTCATGTACGGAAGAAACAGCAGGGGACCTAGGACTGTATTCTGCTGCGCTTCACTCTCCACCGACTTCTAAGAAAAGAGTTCAAAAATGAACCCCAATATTTATCTCAAACAAACGGGGACTCCCACATTAATGTCAGTAGGTTGCTAATGATTTAGAAACTTTTCAGTTTCTTGGGCAATCTGGGATGCGGAAACCTTGTCGAACGACTTACCAAGGTCATTGAAAATGACGTTCATAGGTATTCTATCACCTCTAGACTTAAACCAACTTTGTCTGAATGTGAGAAAATCCATCATGCAAGAAAAGTTTCTGCGATAGCCATGCTCTGCGCCAGACAACACAGTGCTGCTCTTTAAGTGTAATAGGCTCCCTGGTGACTTCTGGGATTTTGACCACAATTCTAGTCGAACTTATCGGCCAGTAATTTGATGAGTGGTGCCTTGAACTTATCTTTTAAGTCATAGCGGAGTTTATCTTTCCTAGGGAGCAGTTTAGATGTAGTAGTCAATGGGCTGGCTAGTCAGAGGTCGAGGTGTCCGAGCAGCGTTGGGCGCATCACATCTGGTACCTTTGATTTTTCCACTCCCAGAGTACTTGACGTCATCTGCCACTACTATCCGCCGATATCTTCCCTTTGCTCTAATCGCATAACTATCTCCTTTCTTTCTTTAGCTCCTTGCCCAGCTTACTCTGAGTCGGACGTATATAGGCTTCTATGAACAAGGAAGTTGCCCAAACACACCTTCGAAGATTCTTTATTTACCTAGTCAGTAAACCACAGAGAGCGAGATAACCCGCTGACGATCATATCACTAACAGATAAAACAGGAGCAGAGGAGACTTTCATAGTGGTTAGAATCGAAAAACCAAGCAAAAAGAACCCGGCCTAAAGAACAAGCGTAAGTCCTAGAACTGTCAGCCAGCTTAGCTAACTAAAATGACTTTAGGTGTTAGATATCTCCAAAATACTATGACGAATTATGGTAGCACATGTAGCTAACTAGCTAAATGTATTTAGTTCGACAACACAAGCTGGGCTCGGACGGAGCTATTCACAGAAGCATGTCTCACGAATGGACATTGTTTAAATCGGTCATTTATCTAACTTTGTCATAACGCCAAATAAGTCACACGTTTAAAAATGCCAATACCAAGCCAATCTCAAATTGCTGTGGTTCTTGCTGAACTAGGATGGAACGAAGCTCATGCTATTCCTGTAGCTAATGAAGCTAACCAAAAGTTACTTACTAGAGTAAGTTATTGGTTGCTATATAAAAAATTATGCATAATGCTGTAACAATAAAGACTTTTGCCTCAAGATTTCTTAACAAACTTCAAATAAATTCAAGCTTTGGAAAGACTAGTTAAACAATTTTGAGATATTGTTGCTTGTTATAACTAACTTTGTAAGGCATAATTGGGCAGTATTAGGCCTTCGTCTATGTTGAGTCAAAAATCTGGTAAGTAGGTTAGGGCTTAAGACCATCATAGGAAACATTGAGCCATTCACTGGCTTAATTGCGGAGGTTGTAGAAAAGACCTAAGGTAAATTAAAGGCCTGGAAATGCTGATCGCACGTAGGCTAAATATTGCATTACCCGATTTCAAGCCTAAAATTTGGCTAAGTGTTTCCTGTAGTGAGTGGCCTAACGTACCACTATTTGTCTAAAAGCAAACTGTTGAATAAAACTGTTTGAAATCATGGCTTACTTTTGGTGGACGTATACATGTATGACTCAAAAGTGAAGTATAACAAAAATCCCTGTAGACTATAGCTTGATAAACTGTTTTAGGATTTGTCCTGGTACGAACTTGACAGACGCAAAGACCAATCACTAATTATTCGAACTTGTTATATACCCACGAATACGAGACCAAGGTAGAACACGATAGCGTAGTCGGATGGAATAGTATATTTGGATGGTTATGCCAAAATACCGATGCGTTCCAACTAACTGGCTAGAGAGTCGAATACGAGCAATGCAACGTAACACGACAGCGTGCCAAATGGCCAGGATGCTTGACCGGGTGCCTTCAGCTTAGCGAGTCCAGTTAAACTATCAAGGTCAGCATCGATGTCGAAAGTCGTCAAACCCTAGGCTACTGATTTTGGGGAAGTGTATGACGCTACAGATCACTCCCCCCCTAGTGGGTTCGTGAGGACCCTAAGACGATACCAGCCGGAAGTAAAAACCCAGTGGTTTCTCCACTGGTAAAACTCTTCCGATGGGCTGACTGCGTGAGGTGGCCCCTGGTTGTCTGAACCTTATTCTAGGGTGTCGTGGCGATTAAATAAATAAAATACAATAAATGGAATTGTACGTCGGTCGCGGTCATCTGTTCCTTTCGACGTTCCGTCCAGTGCTCGTTGCACCTGGAATATAAATAAAAGTCTTTAATACCACGAAAACGTTGCCTAAAAATGGGAATTATTTATATATCAACATATCGAAAAATAAAAATTTACGCTTATCTTTACCGTTTTTTTTAAAATTTCATTACATGGTAAATAAAAATTGATATAAAAAGGCAAAGTATACGAGGGTTTGTATTGATGTATCGGGTAGGAGTCCGGAGTTGTTTTGGCGTTGAGCCTTCGGTAATCACCGGTTGGACGCCAGTCACTGCTATCCTTTTGGGAACCATGTGCAATGGCGATGCCCAAGGATTGTTCGACGGTCTGATAATGCCCAGGTCGAGCATGTGGTCGAATTCATTTTTCGCCGTTTGGAGCTTATCGGGGGCTAGACGGCGCGCTTTGGATGCCACAGGTGGACCTGTGGTTGTGACGTGATGCATAACATTGCTGGTTATGCACGGAAGAGTGTGCTTCGGTTGCTGTAACTCTGGATATTTCTCCAGAACTGCCTGGTAGGACGCGTCGTCTGATTGTTTAGTCCTAACGATGGCTAAACTCGGACCTACATAGGTGGTGCCGCCAATGGATAACTTTGTGCTGTTATCTATCAGTCGTCGACGGCGAGCATCTACGAGTAGATCGTAATGGTTTAGCAAATCTATGCCAATGATGGGCATAGAGACGTCTGCCAGGAGGAAAATCCAGTGGATAGGTTTGCGTAAACCTAAGTTGAGGTAGGCATACCGTCTCCCGAATGTCGCGATTGCCTTGCCGTTGGCTGCTTGAAGATTGAAGGATGGGTCAAGATGACGCTCCTTTGTCGTTGCTGGAAGAATGCTAACTTCTGCGCCGGTGTCGACGAGGTAGCGGACTTTCGTTTTAATATCCGTGACGTAGAGCAAACGGCTTTTTCCGCCGGCTACGGTTGCCGTGAGCACGTGCCGGCGTGACCGTTTCCCGAGTTCGGGTCCTTCTTAAAACGGCATGGTTTACGACATTTTCTGGCTTCATCCCCGTAAGTGTTATGAAACCAGCACCATTCAGGGTTTTCCACCCTGTTGGGTTTCGTTTTAGGGCTACCACACGACTTGCTGCGATGCGCCAAGGTGCGTTTCCGTGAAGTGCTACGTGATCTAGGACTTCGAGATCGTAGCAACCGTCTCACAGAGTTGCACAACTTGGTCACCTCTGAATCCTGGCGCTCTGTTTTGTCGCAGATAGAATATACGTTGGAGACTGGTCTGCTGGATATCTCCAGTATTTTATCTGCTGAGGCTGCCAGGTCGTCGAGTGGGACTGACTGGAGTGTCACCAACACGGTTTGCACCGGTTGTGGTAGTTTCGAGAGAAATAGTTCTCGGAAGAAACCATCGTCAAATGTTCGTGCACCGATTACTTCTCGCATGCGTGCGAGGACTTCAGTAGCTGAGTGGCTGCCTAGCTCGATGTTACGAAACAATTCGTCTAGACGTTGGCGATCTGTGAGATCGCTTTTCTTCAAGAGTGCGGCCTTTAGAAGTGCATAAGGGTCACTTACTTCAGGATTAAACATGTTTGCTGTAACATACCTGTTTAATTCTCGCGGTAGTGACCGGATGACAGCAAGAAATCGAGAATGAGGATCTGAGACACCCTGTTCTCGAAAATCTGCCTCGGCATACAGAAACCATGTTTCTGCATTGTCTGGCCAATATGGCACGAGTTGGATCGTGTTCGTAGTCGACTTAATACGAATAAGCTTGGGAGTGTGGTCGGACATGAGAAAGTGTAGTAAATGGATATATAAATGTTATCGAAATGAAAACAATAAACAAATATAAAATGGAACAGGCTCACCAATTCAATACTTGTTATTGGTCGGGATATGTGATCACGTCGGGCTCACCAATTTAGGATTTGTCCTGGTGCGAACTTGACAGACGCAAAGACCAATCACTAATTATTCGAACTTGTTATATACCCACGAATACGAGACCAAGGAAGAACACGATAGCGTAGTCGGATGGAATAGTATATTTGGATGGTTATGCCAAAATACCGATGCGTTCCAACTAACTGGCTAGAGAGTCGAATACGAGCAATGCAACGTAACACGACAGCGTGCCAAATGGCCAGGATGCTTGACCGGGTGCCTTCAGCTTAGCGAGTCCAGTTAAACTATCAAGGTCAGCATCGATGTCGAAAGTCGTCAAACCCTAGGCTACTGATTTTGGGGAAGTGTATGACGCTACACTGTCACGCATGCAGTATAAGGATGAACATTAGGCACTACGTTGAAAAAAACAAAAACGAAAGTTTAAGTTATTCGTAAACTTTCTTACTAGCAGCTTAACGTCAGTCAGGCAGCCAGTATAATGCTCTTGGCGACTAATTAGTTAAACACTTGAAAATAAATCAGAGAAACTTTTGCATAAAAGAAGACGGAAGGATTCCTTTAAGATATAGGAAGCCTAAATATGAAGAGTATCCTTCTCTTCATTCTTCTCATTTACTCACTTTAGATAAGAGTTTCCAGTTGCGTTGAACATACATGAACTTATGTTGTTTGAGAAGCTTGGCAATGAGGGAATCAATTCTGTGATTATTTATGTTTTTTACTTTGGCAAGAGCCATCTTCAACAAACACCGATACCAACGAGCCAGGCTAGTACTATGTACTTCTCTTCTGATCCTTTGTATGAATTTAGTATCCCGTGAACCTTTTTTAATGTATATTAGTGACTAAAGCTTAACAATAAGTCTATCTAAAGGCGACTAAGATGATATCACCTACTTTCAGTATCATTCTGAAGACCTTTCACAACTTGAAGTAATGAATACTAGTGAGGAAATAAAGAGAAATCTATTATAAATTGGAGAATATTCTACCTTTGACGTATTTGGAAGAATCATCTATAGCAGTAGGATTAATACATCACAAGCAGGATGTTTACTGGAAGAGTTATATCCTTCTGAGCCTCAGCTACCGGATGACTTCTGAACAATTATACGGACACCACTGTCAAATTTCATTAGCTTATTGGCTCACGTTCACATTAGTCTGAAAATTCAGTCTATGACAGTATTAGGAAACGTAAGATCTCAATGTTACCTAGTAATAATATAAGTAAATGTCCAATGGGTACAATTACTTATGGATTCCGACTGGTAGAAGGACTTGTTTTCGGAAAAATTATGGACCACAGGGTTGGTTGCGTATTTTTGATGGATGTATGATGTGGTTAATGTAAACTCTGAGGATGCAAATGAGTTTCTTAGCGGTGTGATTACTGGAACAAAGTCAGTCAACCTCTCAGGCACACGTTTAGGTAGCAGAAGTAGTCAGTGCCATATTTTAATTCATTATACTAGCACAGTCGTTTACCAAACGTATTTCCAGACCCAACTCAAAAGCTCTTTGTCACAATTATGAGGCTGCTTGCAAACGTGAAGGTAACAGCATAGCATATGTCTCACTATTTGGTGACTAATGAAAGGATGAAGGTGTCGGAGGCCGGTCGCAGCCAGGGCAGCGTAGGGGTAGGTCACTTTCCAGAAAGTTGCCAGCTAATATGACAAACTCCTTCACAATCGATCCAGTATGTTTACTACACTCAAGTACACTTCTCAAGGTAAACCTGTAACAGGAAGACCTTAACTGTGACTGCACTAAATGGCCCTTAGTTAAAGAGTCGTATTCTTATACCATCTGTAAAGCTGTCTGCTTTGCTTGTAGTTTACAGTAAGCGCTTAAGTGTGCTGACGGCTTTTGGGAAAATGTTATTTATCTACTATTAGTGCTCCGTATTGGATCATTTTTCCTGTTAACGTTTAAAGAAGAAGACTATAATCGCACTTGGCAATCATTAGATAACGTTAATAAAGTTAGTTAGTATAGTACTACAGCTATAGAA